GGGTCCGGAGACCAATAGGTAGCCAGTGCAGCTCCCGGAGGATAGGTGTGACGTGGGTGTACCTGGGGGCACCCACAATCGCTCGCGCGGCTGCTTTCTGGACTAGCTGAAGTCTTCGAACACTCTTCAAGGGCAGCCCCATGTAGAGCGCATTGTAATTGTGATCATTGTAATTCTGCTCTTCTCTGAATTTTTTCCAAAGTCTCAAGATTTTTATTGTTGTATGATAGTCCAGTTGCCTCTTGGGGAAAAAAAAACACCCTTGGGACAACCATGAACTGGATGACTGGGAATATTCACAATCCTTAATCTAGAAAGATAAACTGGGCCACTTTGGGGAGGGATTTATAGAAGTCTCTATTTGTTTTTTTTTTCAGCTACAAAGATCCTGAAACCTTCCCCACTTCTTAAAAACTGCATATCCAGACACGTTACCTTCTTCGTATCGAGGCTGCAGAAGGCTTTTAGCAGGAAAGCAGTTGGTGGGATAACACTGCCCATCATCCAGCTTATACGAGGCCGCCATGATCTCCCTTCAGCCCTTAAGGCAAAGCAGAATGTTAATTAAAACCTTTCCAGCAATAAAAAAAAACAACCCACAGCTTTTGAAATCTCCCTCAATAAAGTCCCTGAGGAAGGAAGTTCATCTACATATTTTGAGGCATAAAATTACTACCAGGTTCCTAAAAAAAAATAAAACCACGAAAGTTTTCATCTGCTCGAAATGATGGGGATCGAACCAATGAAAGGATCCCTGAAGGATTAGAGCAGTGTTTCTCAACCTTGGCCACTTGAAGATGTCTGGACTTTAACTCCCAGAATGCTGGCTGGGGAATTCTGGGAGTTGAAGTCCAGACATCTTCAAGTGGCCAAGGTTGAGAAACACTGATCTAGGAGATTCCGAAAATTTGCACAACTGAGTAAAGACTTAAGTAGACAGGTAGTCCTCGATTTGCAACCACAACGGAGCCCAGATGTTTTGTTGCTAAGAGAGACATTTGTTAAGTGAGTTCCCCCCCCCCCATTTTACGACCTTTCTTGCCACGGTTTGTTAAGTGAATCACAGCAGCTGTAAAGCGAGTCACACAGCTGTTGAGGGAATCTGGCTGTCCTGTGAATTTTGCTCGTCAGGAGGTCCCAAAAGGGGATTCCCCCAGGACACTTCGCCCCGTCATAAATACGGTATGAGTCAGTTGCCAAGCATGTGCATTTGGATCACGTGACCATGAGGTCGCAAGTGTGAAAAACGGTCATAAGTCCCTTTTTTCCAGTGCTGTTCTAACTCGGGACTAGGGGACTTCCAAGGTCCCTTCGAATCCTGTATTTGTCCCAAAGACATGCTTTTTTCAGGAGGCAAATGGGCTTCCTTGTTTTTTCTTCTTTGAAGACGTTTCTCTTCTCCTCCAAGAAGCTTCTTCAGCTCTGACTGGATGGTGGGGAAGGGAAGGATTGACTCTCCTTGCAGACAGCTGGTCCTTTGCATCCTTTGAGAGGGTCCTTGAGGCCCCTTGGAGGTTTTATCTGTCTCCTTAAGGGTCCCCCGAGGGGTGCAAATGAGCGTGGAGCCTTGTTGGAATGGCTGTGGGTTGTGTAGCTGTGATTTCTGCAGGATGTTTCAGTAGTTTTGCATTCAAGGTTTCCCCCAAATTCCTCTCTTTGGTTTGAAAGAGGAGACAAAGAGGCCACCTTTGTCCAAACTGAACAACCAGGACTTGGAGGACAGAGAATCTCTACAGACATTTTAGCTATAAAATTTGGGGTGAAGACCCTTGGAAAGGGATGGGAGAAGGAATGGATTTCCAGAGAGAGAGAAATGGCAGACTACAGGAACCATTTGCACCCCTCAGGGGACTCTGAGGACACAGATAAAACCTCCAAGTGGCCTCAAGGACCCTCTCAAAGGATGCAAAGGACCAGCTGTCTGCAAGGAGAATCAATCCTTCCCTTCCTCACCATCCAGTCAGAGCTGAAGAAGCTTCTTG